TGAAACCAATTGCTCTGATTGAGATAAATTTCTATTTGCATAGTAAATGTTGAACTTTTTGAAAGCATTTCGGAATCGTTCAGATTTACTTATTTGATCAGTTGACATGTTTGTGGCTTTTTTTATTCAATGCAATTATGAACAACTATTTCTCTGTCTTATATAGTGAAATGTTCTACTTCATTGTTTTTCTTAAGTAGTTGAAAATCTATGTAATTTTGTTTATTTGAGCGTTAAAACAAGTTTGTTTCATTTTCTAACTGTTAGATATGAATGTTTGTAAGAACAATAAGAGAAAAAAAAATTAACGGTTGCTATCTACTTTTTTCATGTTAAGATATTTCTTCTCGAAGAATCTCCAAAGGAAAATTATTTGATTTATTTCCAGAAAAGTCGAGTTGTTTGAAAAGAACAGTGCGAGGTTTTTCATTAAAAAATAATTATATTTCTGTTTATTTCGACGTTAATAATCAATTGTTTTCATTTCCTCAATAATATATATGAATATGTACGTTATACAGAAGAAATATTTTGTTCGCTCGACTGAAAGGAGGAGCATGTCGAAAAAATGTGGTAAAAAACTGAAATTCGTTTGTGTGTGTCTGTCGGGGTCAAAGATCAAAGTTCAAGTTTTGGTGATAGTAAAAAGCTTCATAAAACATGGTTTGGGCGGGGTGTAGCGAAAGCGACCGGAGGCCGTCTGAGCGCTCCAAGACAACAATCCACGCGTTCTCTTTTTTCATGACAGTGTTGCGCTAGCTGCAAGGAATTTATGAAGTCGGCCAATAGCACGGTCGCATTTCAAAAGATTGAGATAAATCTTGAGGGCGAATCAGAGCGGTGGATGGGTCAGTGGAAACCAAGTTCAAGTGGGTAGAACGGAAGCGACGGAAAAGTCAAAGGAAAAGTTTTTATAATTTCTACTGCAGAAATCAGATTTAGTAACTCCTTTGCATACATAACCAGAGCTGAAGCTGGCGTGTTGTGCCACGCACGACCAGAAAGATACGGATCACAAATATAGAAATCTTTAGCATATTGCTTTTTCATTGGGGTACAGTTTGACCACATGTGATACATTCGGCATAGATATTTTGCATTTGTTAATGGTGTTCCCGCTAATAGCATACAATCAGAACGCCTAAATACCTGCACCGGGACTCGTCCTTCAAACAAAATATCGACTATTGCTTAGAAAGTCCTTTGAAACCATCCCGCATCACAACCACACGATCAGGCACGTTCGAAACCCCACTACTTCAAAGTTCTAATCGTTCATCAGTTCACACGAGGAATACCCGCCAATTCAACTCAAACCCTATCCTATGCAACCGCCGAAAACTGCAGCGACCATCATCCAACGCAAATGAATACGAAAGACCGATGATCTTGATTAGCAAGAAATCAAACCAGACGGCCACACAGCAAAGGCGATGAGTGACGATTCGCAGGATCGCTACTCTCTTCTATCAGCGCAGCAAACCATTATACCACATTGAAATTAAGCTTTAACCTCTTCAAAACCGACCTTGTAGACTGAAACCTGCGCCCCATTATTCATAGTACGTTCAGCGTTCATGCAAAACACTCCTCATCAATCTCTCCGATGAATAGAAAAATCAGATCCAATCTTAATGACATATGTCACAACTTGCAAATTCAGTTTTTCAAGAATCTAAGGGGAGTATACCGGTATGACTCTATACATATGTTCGTAATTGTATGAGTCTTGATGGTGATTGACTAAAAAGACAAAAATGAATGCCATGGAATCGAGATGGTTTGGTGGATTCAACATCGGATTGCGAACCTCCAACTCGTCAACAACCGTATAAAGAAACCATCTATATAGGAAAATATCGAACTCGGACGATGATCACTCTCTACATTTCGCACAGCATCTATTTCGTGCCAGATAGATAATCTTTTCTAAACAATTAGGAGGATACAGTCAAAAACAACAAAATATATCTTTTATTATCCTACGTAATTAAAAGGTTACAAAACAACTGCTTTCAGCCAGACTTCAAATTTCCTTCGGCAAGCATTTCAGATTTTTTCTATTTATCGGAAACGTACTTTTATTTTTGCAAATATCGCTTCATGTATCAGTTTGAACTCAGCTGTTCGTGTTTTTCGTTCTCACATTTGCATGTTAATTGTTATTACTTAACAGATCAACAGGGAAATAGGCAATAACTCTATTTCCTTAATATACAGGGACAGATGAGAAAAACTTCACTTCATACTTTTTTTATTCATACACTTGTTTTGATGATGACTTTCCAACGTTGTTTTTCCTCAAAACGGGCGATTCCACGGCCTCTTTCTTTTATTTAGTATTCTACTAATTCTCTCCACGTAACGAAAATGAAGCCAGCAAACGTAGATCATACCAACGCTAAAAATGTAAGCTCTGTGAAATTGAATCATTCGATCAACTTTTCTTTCTCCTCTCTCTCTGTTGACAGTTTCCTTCGAGCGGCAACGACACAATCGAATCGTCAAACGGTCGAGTACCACAGTTGTATCTGTTTTCTCTATATCCGAAAGGAAATCTTACAGAAAGTTTTTGCTTCAGAACTTGGATCAATCGAAAACGAGCAATTTGGGTGTTGTGCTCGATTATAGCAGCAGGTTTGATTGTAGCAACGATTGTTGTTCCATTAAAGCTTCCAAAAACGAAGACAAAAAAAACTATTTCCCAACAAATAACAACAAAAGCTTTGTCTACATCAACAACACGAACAATAGTTTTACCAATCAAGCCAGGTATCGTTTCATTCGAAGACAAATAAATGAGATCTAACAAACACTTCATTCGTTACGGAGTTATTCTTGACTTCAGTAGCAATTACAAACTAGAACGAGTCAAGAATAGGAAAATACGTGCTCAGTTAGGATGCTTTGTTATATTCCAATTCTCTTTCATTTCAGGCGCGCCATCGTCTGCGTGCACAAGTGAGGTACATAGAAGTTTTTTCGACAATGAGTTTATCTGCTCACCGTCGTCACAAACATTTGCGGCTGGTCTGTTGGAAGGTCAGTTCGGTGTGTATAGAACAGATGGGTATGGCAACGTCACTTCATCTTCGATTTGGCTTGGAAAACAAAAGTCAAAACTGGGGTCCGAGCTTAAACTTCAATTAGATGGGCATCTGGTTGTTTATGGGAAAGGAAAAGCTATATGGGCCAGTGGCACTGAAAATGGTGGTCGTGGAAGTCCATTCTGCTTGGAAATAGCGGATACGGGAAATTTACAGTGGATTGACTCGGAAAAAACCGTTCTTTGGCAAACGAATACCGCTATTGGATAGATCACTGTAATTGCGAAACTCTCAAATGAAATCTAACGAAGAAAAAAATCAATAACTGTTGTCTGCATCGATGATAATATAACAAAAATAAAGATTGATAAGATATCGTGTGCAGATTAGTTTTTCGAAGCTTTCCAGCAGGACTGATGCATTATAACAGATAAAGTGAGCACGTCGATCAATTATTGTAACAATAGAGTATTCAAGGGTATTTTAGAATTCAGCAATGATGATTTTGCCATTTCATTTTCTTCAAATGATCTGAATAGCGCACGCGCACAATGAATCCCGACAGACAGCTGTAGGTAATCTCAGGGTGACGTATGCAATTCAACATCCAAAACTAAGACTTCTAGTGTCATTACACTAGATGTGCATCATCAATATCCTTTCTATCTAAGTTTACAAAATATAGATTATGTTAAATCTGTATCTTTTCTATGGTCATGGCAAATTCGCAAGTGCATAAATATAAATTGTTGATTGGGATTTCGATGCTGCCAACAACAACCTTCACACGCATCCTCTAGATTTTTCACGTTTTTAAACACAAACACTCCTATAGAACAATCTGAGTGCCAATCGTAACAGTAAAATATTTTCGAAATTAAGAATGGTTGTAGCGATCAGATTGCTCAACGTTTGAACTCTCTAAAGTATTCACACGGTCTACAAGATATGTGATACTGTTAGAAAACAGATCAAGGTCGTCCAACAGACACTAAACCATGTGGTAAGAATCGACTCCGTGTATAATGTATTTCATTGTGAAGTACAAAGATGGAGACCAGTGACTAATTCGTTGAGCACGTTGATGTCAAACACTGTCAGATGACAATCTTACATTTCATTGGTTTCACTGAAAATCTTACCTTATACATATTCTCTACCACTATACGCTGCTTCGCGATTTTTTCACTATGTGCCAGACCCAGGACGAAAGCGCTTTTACTTGAGCAAGTTGTACTTTTTATGGGGAAAGTATATGTACGTGCACCAGGGAAGAAACAACTGATTCGAATCATTGAAAAACTCAAAATGAATCATGTGAACTCAAAAAAATCATTAGAATCAATTTAAATCATGAAACGCATTTTGAATCGCGAAAACTCATTTTGAATCATTAAGACTCATATTGAATCACTGTAAATCAGTATGAATGTGTCATAAAACAGACGGAAAAACATTAAATAAAATAAATTATTGGAGCGCATTCAAGAAAACATCGAATCAATTCGTCTAAACGCATTCAAGCTATCTGTTTTTCTCCATAAGTTGGGATATAATGAAAACTAGAGTCTTTTTTATGAACAATTGTTTTTAGAAACATTATTCACTTATTTCTTTTTTGAAACACTGAGAAAGTGTGTTCGAAAGCTAATAATTGAATAATTTTCACTTAATATCTGCACAGACTACTCTTTGTATTCCAAGAAATTTAAAATAAAATGGTTTATATTGACAGTAATTCTTATAAGAATGTGGCAAATGCATGTCAATATCGTACTTCAAAGTTCCAAAAAACATTTATGCTTTCGTTTATTGGTTAACAGGAAAAGAAAAAAAACGTCGAAAATATTCTTTCTTTTCTTTCGTTCTCTAACGGTTCAATCTCATCTCTTTCACGATCCAGTAGAGCCATATTTGTCGAATCGTTATTTTTTCTTCTGGAAAATTCAGTCCATGATGAATATTTCCACATGTATCGATATGCATCCACTTCCAGCAGATGTGTTCGACATAAAACATGATGATTTTTATAACTTCGTTGATTATGAATATGGACCTTTACAATCAAAAATTCTCAAATATCAACTCATTAGCGATGTCGATACTTATCTTGAATGTACTGATCCTACAGAAATTTTAAAATACAATAGTGCAAAATTAAACGAACTAAAGGCCGAGCCATGTTTAATGACTGACGAAAATTCTTTCGTAATATTTCCTGAAATTATTGCGTCTTTTAGTAGTTTAAAAAAGCGTTTACTGAAAAAGATCGACGAAAACATTAAAGAAATCAAGCGAAACAAAACCTTTGACAACGCTTCTGTCTCAACATCATCAACTGCACGTATATCTACTCAATCAAAAACAGTTGATGAATTTCGAAATCATATAACCAAATCGATTAATCAATGGCTAGATAAATATAGAAATGATGTCGATTTATAAGCTGGTTCTTTATTAACAGAGTCTGTTGATTATGCTATTGATTTTAAAAATAATCTTATTGGTCAACAATCAGTGATTATTACATGTACGTGTGGATCGAAATCAAGTCCATGTCGCAATGCAAATGATGGTTATTATAAGGTGAGCATACTGTCACATTTGATTGAATAAGTAGAAATCAATTCTATATTGTATGATAAAAGAATGGGTAGAATATATTTATCCACTATCTTTTGCTGATCAGGATCACTAGCATTACTAAATCTTTCTTTCATGTATGATCATCTTCGTTTTCATCATGGTCACATAGCTACATCTGAATATACATTGATAAATACATTTCTAAATAATTACTAATAAATGATAAAGAGAAGATTGATACGAGGTTCTTGTTCGACAATGAAAAAAAAGTTAACAACCAAGCGAGTCAAACCACCCAGGTCGAACAATCCCATACTCGGATCCCATCGGATTTGTTGACCTGGGAGATGACTCATTCTGGAATGTCCAGACACTAAAACTACCTTGAGGAATCTTTTATCGATGAAATCTAAAAAAGCAAACCTTAGATTATCTTAAGAAGTCTACCCGACATGCACTTGTCTCTGCTTCACAATATACCACTTAAGAATGCAAAGATACTCCCATAGTATGGCATATGACGACCCAAGCGTAGGTCACATGCTGATCATTTTGAGAAAGAACGAAAATAAATTTATTCTATACTCATAAACGAAGCTGTCCAAACTTGTTAAAGAAAAACATCTCCATGATACACAGAATGATAGCTATATGGCCTATTCAATGCTATCCTTTTTCCTATAATTCTTTTTTTTTAAATTTGAAAAAAAGATAAAAAAAGTACCGATTTTTTCGTCTTTTTAAAGTCAAGTCTTTTTTATACACAAGTGCAAGAAAATAATTGAATGCACAAGATGATAGAGAATTTCAAGCTTTATCAAAATGTGTAATTGTTTTTTTTTAATATATCAGTTTTCTATTATTTACCAATGATATCAACGATCATTTCTCTAACTGATAAAATCAGTTCGGATGAACTTTTCTCTATACAAAAAAGATTTCCTTAGTTTCCATTTCTCCTTCATCGAAGCGAGAACAATAAAATGAAACGAGACTGAAGGTAAGAGCATTCCATATATACATTTGTGGCTGTTAGGTTTTCTGCTGTCAAATTGGAAAACACAGAACTGAAATTTTCTCCGATTCTCATAAGAGAAAAACATTAGTCGCATTTTCTCCATTTAACAATTCAAATGCATTCTACATCACTCGTTTCCATATGGTTGCCAAACAAAACACCACTGTTTCTTTATTGACTTTTCAGACTTACTATGAACTACTCCATCGGAGTTGTGATTCTCTTGATACATAAACAATAGTTCTTTCGCTTCGTCATGTTTATCGGCAACTATTTAGGTGAGGGTGGGGTGGGAGTAAAAATTTTTATGATTGAAACCGATAGAGTTCTTCAAGTTGTACTTGGAACCAGTGTTAGTTCGATTGGAACCTACACTGGAACGAATCCGCTCAAGAAAAGTCGAATCCTGCACAAGGATATCCTACGCGTTTTGTTGACGTTAAATATTATTTTCGCCGCGTGGTGTTCGAATCGTTCCTTTTTTTTGCTTTGTCACATTTCTTTTTATGCAGGTGTCCATCGAAACAAACAGAAAAGCAAATAAAAGCATCAACATAACAATATATTTCTCAAGTTCTGAAATAATTTCTATAGTTGACTTTAGATAATTGTAGATATTTGAAATATTATTTCTATTCGTCAAAACATGGTTAATGCTTCATCGGCTTGCAACGAAGCACGTTATTTAGTTAGTCAAGGCGATCCAGCATTATGGGAGGGAGTCTTACGCGAGGACAATCAACACCGTCATCTAATTATTGATCAACTCATTCAAAATGTAGCGCCCAAAATACAAGATCCTGATGAATTGTCCGTCGTTGTCAAGGCATTTATAAATGCTGACGTACCCAATGATCTAATTAAATTGCTGGAAAAGGTCGTCCTTAGAAACTCCAACTTCTGCAGCAATCGTAATTTATCAAATTTACTTATCCTAACTGCTATCAAAACCGATCCAACGCGTGTCATGGATTATATCAATCGACTCGAAAATTTTGATGCATCTAATATTGGTGAAATCGCTACTAGCGCTGCGCTCTATGAAGAAGCATTTGCAGTTTATAAAAAATTCAAAATGAACACATTGGCAATGAAAGTACTTATCAATAATATTAATGATTTAAATCGAGCTAAAGAATTTGCCCAACAGTGTAATGACTCAGATCTATGGAGTTTATTGCCAAATGCTCAAAACTGAAGTTCAGTCGGAAACTATCTCGTGATTTTTTTCCTTCTTAATGAACACGTAACACTTGTTCGAGGCTGACTCGCTTATCCATCGATGTGTTAGCTAAAACCTTTTTTACTAAATATGTCCCGTCCATGGAAACTACATTATTCGACTCCGAATTAAATTCTGCATCCAATGGTGGGACTTTTATTCATGGCACAAAGTTTGAAGAATGTTTTTTAGAGTTTTGTCTCATATGTAGGAAAACAATTATAAAGTAGATAACAATGCTTTCAAAGTCTGTCCCATGAATAAAAGCCCCATCGTTCGATGCTGAGTTCAATTCTACGTTGAATGGTGTAGTTTCCATGAACGGGGCTTATTTAGTAAAAACGTTTTTAGCTAGCACATCGTTTCTTCGTTCTAGCTTCACACCGATCGCTTAGCCCTCGACTGATTTTCTTTTCATTCTACTCTTGTCACAAGAACTTTTCAAAAGATATATCAACTCACACATCTTACAGTCGGTCCGCCACTCCTGACTGCTCGATATTGTTCCTAGCATATACATTTCGTCAAATGGCACGCGCTTTCCTCTTCGACACTTCACACACACAATTTAACTACCTGAACAAAATCTATATAGAGAAAGTTTTCAGCTGGGATTTGTCTCTCGTTTACAAGACGTTATGAGAGAAAACCAACCCTGGCTCGTGCAAAAAAAAATAAAAATGTGAAAATGAATGCATGAACATAACAAAACGGGTTCAAAATTTGAGAACTGGAAGCTGCGATGGATAGACAGTGGAATATGGATATGTAGATTGTGCATATAGAGATGTTGATGATGTTGAAGAAATCTCAGTAAAGGTGGTATAATCGGATGTAAATGCGACAAACCGGAATGTTCGATTGCAGCTAGAGTTGGAGACTGCGTTTGTTGATCATGACGTCGAATGTGTCGACATTACTAAACAATTGTAAGAAAAACCAATAATAGTATAAGACCGAAACCAATAGCGATAGCTAAAAATATGGTACGCATCCAGTCGGTTTCATTACGATGAGTCGAATGAGCCTGTTCCAAAACATTCATACGATTGTGAACTTCCGAGTTCAAAAACCGTCGTAAACGAGGATCGAAGGCAATTGAAAAATGAAACGAAAGTAAAAGAGTAAAAACAGCGAACATGATATAAGTTGCGGAATAATCAAAATGAAATGAGAAACGAATATGTATATATGACGAAGACGAATCGATAGTAGAATTCCAACGAAAGAATTTAGTAGAAAGAGAGAGAAAAAAATGTCAATTAAGTAGATGTGTGACGTGAAATTAATGGAAGAATAGAATCGACAGTAACTTGTTGTGTTAAATGATATAGACGAACGTGTTGCACAATATAGGTTTTATTCGTAAGATGTTGAATAATACGATGTGGACCTTCATGGCGGACATCAAATTTGCGACGAGGTTTAGATGTCTTGATGAGCACCAAATCATTAATGACATACGAAAGATTTGAACGAGGAGCATCGAGTCGAGTTTTGTATGTTTGTTGAATGGATCCAAGGGGGAAACGACACTCCCGGATCCCGGTACTCCCGTACTCCGAATGATACTCCCATACTCCCGGGATACTCCCGTACTCCGGGATCCCAAAATACTAAATGGGTATTAGGTAACTGGAAAACTGATGAATTTAGAATTTTTGTCCCATGATTTTTCACCAGGACATTCTCATGTATAAGATTGAGCTATTAAGGTGCTGTAGGAAAATAAATTGATGTTCATAAACTTTTATTTTATGTTAAACAAAAAAGTAAACATTATTTTGCTTCTGTTACTCTNCCGGTGGTTGGACATATTGGACATGGAAATTCTATAATGATAACCTTTCAAACAATGGTTGGAGTATGAAAGCAATGCTTCATCATGGTATCATTCAACTTTAAAAACTATTCAAAAAAAAGAATAACCTAAACACGAATAAATTAGTTTCTAATTTTTATTTTTCTCAAATATAAATAATCCAAAAAAAAAATTAAATCTCATTGTATTATTATACAGATTCAATGAAGCGATAAAAGACAGAAGTATTCACATATTGCAATAATTCCCTCTACTGAAAGGATAATCGAGGGCAAGGAATCCGAATTTGCTGTTAGCTGTTGTGAGAAAATTTTCTTCTTTTTCTGAGAGAGAGGACTATGTTTTATACAAAACAGAAATTTTTAATACGGGTTTACCGAAGGTTTTCCCGGATCAAGAAACACGAATCTGGTGTTAGTTTTTACATAGTTGGTCAACTTAGTGGCTCTGTAATGACTTAGAATACAACAGATTCGAGAAAAATCTCGGAACAGCTGAAAGACATTTGTATTTTTGTCATTGTACCCTATGAATCATTGGGGTGTGCGATATTATGAAAAGTAAGTGAAGAATGTACTGATCAATACGCTCATTTGAACAGAACAGAACAGTTGAATTATCTATTTATCCAGAACCATTTTAATTTAGTTCAAGTGTTAATGAGTAAATAATTCGACAAGTGACCCAAGTGAAGGGACTCGTTCGGCTCTTTCATATAGAAACAAGGTTCTATGGCCCTACTAATGTAAAAATCTATTCAGCGCGCGTACATTAACAACAAACTCGTGTGTTTTCATCCCAATAATCTTTCGATAAAGTTACATCGAAAAGATGAGATGCCTTCAGGTTTTAATATCTTGTCCTCAAATGTTCTTTTGTTCCTGCGAGCATACAAGTAAGCAGACAATTTACATTTGTAAGACCTTCCCTTTCGAAAGAAAGAATACATTAATTGGTGAACGTAATACAAATATGAATAGACGGACAAACGCAAGTATTGCCGCTAGAAGAATCACTTGTTATCTGGTAAAACATGTAAACCACTAGCCGTTGATGTTAAAGATTACTGTAGATTTGTAGTATTGAAAGAAAACTCCGTAGCTGCGAGCTTGTCGTTTAAACAAGTACATCAACATTCCTATTAGAAAGAAGTCGACTGATATCGTATTCTCGAAAGAAAGGGGAAATTAAAGGCTGTGATGTATCCTGAGCAATTTGCCATTATATATCAAATATTGTCTGTTGTAAGTAAGACATGCTATGAATGGTTTAGTTTTTTATTTGACAAAATCCATTGCTTGAAGGATAGTACAGATTCAGAAATGAATATGAGATCATCTAGTTGTCTGTGGCCGCGGTATGCTAGTTTTATCAGGTGTTCAATAAATGTGAATTGAGATCTTTCGAAACGCAGCTGCCGAGTTTAACACAAGCGAAAACAAAGTCTTCTTGGTAGTTTAACCTCTAACAAAATATATTTGGCAAGAATATTATTAATACGAATGTGGAACTTTAGGCTAGCAGTAGATTTAGAAGAGTTAAGCATGTATTTGCTTTCTCCTGAAACTTTTAAGAAATTGCTTATAGAGTAATAGTCCGATGACTATAATTTGAACGTGCAAGTATGCAATTTTCTGAGACAGGAATTTCGGAGAAAATGCTTTTTTAAATAACACTATCTTGAATTCAGAAAAGGATCAACGAATCTGTACACTGAAAACAAAAAAGCTTTCAGCGCAATCCCTAACGGGATTACAAATGTGAGACAATCACACACAGTTTATTTGGATTTTCTCGTAACAAGCTCTCACTCTTCATTTTTTAGGTGCACGTCTTTACAGAAAACAGTGAATTACGGTCATGTATAGTAACAACTCTAGGACAGACGGATTACAGGTTACATGCGTACCAAAAGGCAGGCGGTAACAATAAGTCCCGTTAGATTCCGTAATGATCTACGGGATAAGGATTAGCGGGCGGAAAATCCCTCTGTCTTCCAAAACTCTTTCACATCTTTCTGCGAGTCCTGCCTTAAAAAAAGAATGAAACAGTTAGCTTAATAGCAAATACGTCCGCTGTTGATGTTTTTACTGCAAATAGAGTATTAAACCTATGAACCTTAGCTGGTAGTGGTTTGCACTCTATGAGCTTTACTCTCTATATATGGTAGAGTATTACAGCGCACTTGTACGTAGTAAACCGCTTATGCCTAATGAACTTTGAATGTTTTGGTCGAAGTATGAATTTCTCAACGGTCTGTGATAGGATTTTCGCCCTGCCAGTGACGGTCTGAGGGGGGGGTGTGTAGTCAAGGTTTAGTATTATTTGAAGTTTTGTATCAAACCTTTCTAAGTTCTGAATTGTAGAAGAGGTTTTGTCCTGAACTATTGTCGGCATGTAACCGGTGTTACAAAATGAATGAGCTTCTCGGTATTTTTCGGCATAGGAAAGCAAATTTTTTTATTAAAAGATTCCTCGTCAGAATTCTCTACAAATGTAGATACCTTTCAGAGTTGGGCACGGTTCGGTTGAGTTTCAACTTTAATTGATTTAACATAAAAGATTACCGGTATCGATTTTTAAGTGATCGGAATCGTATTATCTTATACCTTTATTGCTAGATTGGAAGCCTCGGAAATGAGAGGATATTCTGAGAATCAAAGAAGGTCATGTTCGAATATATAAAAAGAAGTTTCTCTCTTTATGAAATTACTGTACAATGACAGAATGACGTCAATATCTTTATAAGTATACTGTTGTGCAAAAGTTCTGGTACCGAAACTGATAGTTTCTGGTTAAAGATTACAAATTCGTTTACAGGAACTTGAAAATTCATATTATGTCTTCGTATAGATGCGTTCTGATATTGAACGTATCTAGAGAGGAACATCCTACTTCACCTTTTGAAAAAAGAACTTCGCAATTCTTTTAAAGCGTTACGAATGCTATCTGAAATTTCTCGCTATATTTTGAAATGTTCCTGGATGTCTACTGAAATTGTTAAAAGCTTCGCATCTCATTGAGGAAGAAGCGCACGGTTTTTGATTGGTTGACAAAGTTATACATCTGGTATAGTGATCGTTATCGTTATTCTACTATTGAAACTCTTTAGAATTATTATCATTCAACAAAATTTCTTCACACAGATAGTGTTGCATTGGAAATAGAAAAGATTGGACACTTTCAAAAAATGCTTATACGAACGAAATTAATAAACTACCATTGATGTTAACACATTTCATTTGTTACCATGAGACTTTTCTTACACATGTATGATTCGGTTCGGTTAAAATTTTTTAAAACATGGACCGTGTCCATCTCTGTTGCATCGGTTGAAAGAGGATCCCCAGCTCTACTAACTGGGCGAATAAAAGGATAAAATCACATAAAAACGCGCTTTCCAAAAATTTGTTTCTACTATTGTTCTCAAGAAATGATATGATTGGTCAGTTCTTTGATTGATCATATTCAACATAGTTGTGTACCCAATAAAGTTTCAAGTCTTCTGGTGAAACTCACAGTTGTCTAGCTCTTTTCGTTCGTGAGTCGTTCCAAAAATACCCACCGTCATTATTTTTTCGGACAGACAGTAGTTACTTTGTGGCAGTTATGTAACTCTGAAGTAAAGTAAATGTGCCACCCCTAACCTAAACTCAATATTTCCACATTTTATCGAATTCACCCACATGTGTTTTCACTGTAATATGAGAGCACCCAAGTTGTCGTCGTTGAATCGATGGAACCGATCTTGTGCTGTACGAATAAAGAATACATCCTTCCCCATTGTACCACATATGTTGTTCGTTGCTTCCGTTGCTAGGTAACCCAAACGAAATTTATGAAGCAAGAGTGATTGAAGCTCTCTATGAGATATCTTCACTTCTGATTCGAGATCAACGCCCATGTCCATAATCTCGTTATTATTCAGAAGATCTTCGTGCTCTATACATATATATATCCTGAGTACGGAAACTTCCAGAACTTTTTCGACTGTTCTAGGAAATTTAAGAAAAAACGCAGAAAATTTCTTGTTAACCCAATTGTGTGAAATATAGAAGACAAAAAAGAAAAACAAGAATTTTTATTCGCGAAGAAATGAGTATAAACATGAAAATCATAGAAAAACAACTGTATGTGATGAGATGATCATATTTTGAGACAGGTATATTGGAAAAGAGTTATTTCTCAACTACATCGAAAGTCTCCCAGTTGCCGGCATTATCTCGATCTGCCGTTAGTTCGCTGTTGCCAAAATTGCCAACACTGACGTATTTTCCATTGACTGCTATGAAAGCCACCTTGCCATTGCCACGATCAACTTTTCTAAAAGTTTCCCAGGCATTGATTTTTTTACGACTAGCCATCAATGTGCCGTTACCTCCATTTTCGGCACAAACATATCGCCCATTGGCATGTGATTTCAATGCAACATTTCCTCCTTCGAGATCGATCATATCGAAAGTTTCCCAACCAGCCACAGAATCGCGGTTCGCGATCAATGAATCTCTTCCTGCGTTCTCTGCACAGACAAATTTCCCGTTAGCGTTAGAACGAAGAGCAATCACTCTGTGCGCTTTTTCTGACGCTCCGGAAGCAATTCTATCATTCGCAGTTTGATGAATATTTGATAAGACACTTCGAAAAAATGCACTAACAATATTTCTCATGCTTGAACTATCATGTCCTGCGTTTTTCACTAAATCGTATTGCACCCACTTTAGCCCAACGTTGTCATAGTTGTCTTTCAATCGTTTCGCCTTGTCCACCCGCTCTTTATCCAAATCACCGATACAGATTTGAGTTGGTAAAACGCTCATAGCTTCCCTATCAATGTTATCTCCATTGAAAACTGTTGGAAGATTTCCAGTTCCCACAGGCCAGTTGCTTTGAAAATCAAAAGGCAAAGATTTGATAAAGTTGCATCTCAGAAGTTGGGTGAGGGTGTGATTCCGTAAAGGAATTGATGGAAATTGCACGCAAATGCAGGAATGTACAACTATCGAGAATAGGAAATATCCTCCTTTAGTTAGATAATACAGTATTTTCCAAGATAGCGGATACTTTGAATATATTTGTAGTTGAACTAACTCATTTCTTTTTGAAAAAGTTCTGTTATAAAAAAAACAGTTCAGGTAAGGTCCAACATAAATTTCTCAGTATAAAGATTATTCAAATAATGCATTTTAAAAAATCCGGCGTTTAATCAACCCTCCAAAAAGGTTTATGACTGAAAAATTTGTTCATCAACCTGATCTACCCCTAGCTCAACCCTAAAATGACGGGTTTCTTATAAGTGATGACAAACTCTTGACTGAGGGCTGATTAAACGCCGGATTATTTTCAGTGTAGTACCACAACCATTGTGATAAATTCTACTTCAATATCTCCACTAATTATATCTAACTTTTTTAACTTTCTCCCAGACTGCTACGCAACTTAAAATCAAAAGTTTACTTACCGATCAAAGTAATTTCACCTGGAGCCCCAATTGATAGACCTAGAATTCTGCTGGCATTTAAATAGGCAAATCGATGTACGAACCGTCCACCAGCACTATAACCATGAAGAAGAAATTTGCTTATATCAACTTGCTGGTGCATCCTTTTCATTTCATCTAACATATGAAGGAGTAAGCGGTCAAAACGAAAAGATGGATCATTTCCTGAGATCATTCTATGGTAAGAATATTGTTCAGGAAAGTAGGGTACGAAGAGTGCACACTGATTTTGCTGAGAAAAATCTTTGTAATCGTTGAGCATTGCTTCTGGTTTACGAGATAAGCCATGAATGAGAACTGCGAGAGGAAAGAGAGTAGTGACGGAGGAGGCAGATGACGGCATATAGAGAGTATAGGTGAATGCAGGATTTCCAGAATAGGAGCCAGGATGAGTTTTAGACATTTTGGTAAAGTATAAGAATATTTTGTAAGTATGAAGAATCTGTTCCACGCTCTTTAAGTGACTTAACGATCTAAAAAACTGTGAATGTGTTGAATCAATTCTTCCACAAGCGTCTTTTCGGCGAGTGAGAACAGAACGACAAAAAGTGGTGCATTTATGTATCGTCGGCCGTGAAAGGGTTACGGTAAAGAAAAAGAAAGAACAACGTGAGGAAGCAAGGTAGTCGCCACATTCATGTTTGATTGTAGACAAGAAAAGGAAAACAAGCGAGGACAAAATGCATTTAATTATGTGGGTGAGGGTGGATGTGGGTGTGAATGCTGATAAGGGTAGCATATTCACACATCAGTGTCATTCATAGCATCAAAGAAGCGATAAAAATTAAGAAAACCCTTTTTTTTACTGAACGTAGGCGAATTCGTAATGACTTACCAAAATCATGCTCATAATATTACTTAATTGCCGACCGAGTTTTCATTCATCGCTTGGGTTCGAAAATGATTCCTACTTGGGAGATCAATGCAAGTAGCTTGAGCAATGCTCTTGCCGATTTTTTACACAATCATTTAGTTTATCGTAAGAATGCTCAAAAAATCGGTTCTTTAATCGAACGAGAAGATGGTCTTCGTCACTGTATCAAATTAATTGAACAACAGTTGAAACAATGAATTTTTCTTCACCAGCCCAATAAATAGATGCACAACAATATTTTTCAAAGAAGCGAAAAATAGGATTTTTCAATCTCGAATTGCATAACTACCAACATCAGAAGTTTCTAAGCATCTATGTCATTTTAAGATAGGTAACACGACATGTATGTGTGATGAACGAAAGTCTCAAGAGGCCACTTTCATTAGGATGTTTGCTTGCCGATGAAGCGGATTCAAGATTGAGATAAACAAGGCTGTTCCAAAAATTTCTGCAAATAGACGACGAGTCATCTGACTGCTCGCCATGGAATTTTCGTGTTTTCTTCTTTTGCCAGCAAGACGAGCCGTATATAAGCAAGTGTCAACATTAAGTGAAAAAACGTGCAGAGGCAATTATTTTGTACGCAGTGGCTAGAGATAAATGATAGTTAAAGTTGTTCATGACGAGTGATATCCGACTCGGGCTAGGCACAGTCATCGAGTCTAGTTCGTTCAATGACTCATAATTCAAAACGGTTTGATACGATATTGATTTTGGACTTTCAGAGCTTATATTTTCTGAAAAAGAAGAGACGGCCAAATTGATGCATAGGACAGTTCATTATTGACTTAAAAATATATGATAAAGTATGAAATAGTTGCTATCAAAAGTCCTTAATCGAACAATTTGGTGGTACATCGATTATTGGAAAGAAGAGGTGTTGTATTGACGGGTAAGTCTTGTGAAGGATTAACAACCACATCATTCGATGTTCAAGTTATGTTCATAGGGTGAATGTTGTGGACCCATCCACAAATCAGCATGTGTACTGTCCTTGATCCCATGCTCGTACTGCTGATTCACAAAGATCTTCCATAATAAAATATTTTCTTAAGAATGGAACGTAAATCATAGTTCCGATGTCTAGTTCACGTTTGTTTGTTGCAAATGTAATGGGATCTTCGTAGATTCCTTGATCTTCTGTCGCTGAATTATGCTTCGTGGGATAACCATCACTTTTTGGATAAGCAATTTCTGCACTTGGCGGATCGTTATCATTTCATCCGTAAGCTGTGACACGTATTGGAATTGTTCGATCCGATCCATTCCACGTGTGATCTGGACAATTCATGATAAGAAAACTTTCACTTAGGATACTTTTCTGTTTTCCCACTCGTGGGCAAATTCTCACGTACAACATCAGGATTGGCAGCTAGGATTTCGTCGGGAGGAATATCGTATCGTTTGCTGAGAGCCCACAATGTATCACCCGCTTTCATCGTATATCTTGAAATGGTTTCGATTGATTAATGTCACTCAGATAGAAACGAAAACGCATTGTCCTGTGAAGATACGTGGTTATATACAGTCACATATGATGAATAATCAAGGGGGAAACGACACTCCCGGATCCCGGTACTCCCGTACTCCGAATGATACTCCCATACTCCCGGGATACTCCCGTACTCCGGAATCCCAAAATACTAAATGGGTATTAGGTAACTAGAAAACTGATGAATTTAGAATTTTTGTCCCATGATTTTTCACCAGGACATGCTCATGTATAAAATTGAGCTATTAAGGTGCTGTAGGAAAATAAATTGATGTTCATAAACTTTTATTTTATGTTAAACAAAAAAGTAAACATTATTTTGCTTCTGTTACTCGTCGTGTTCGGTCGGCGGACAGTTTTTGATTTTGCTCGGTTAAAACCCAACTTGCAGTAGACTTGTGAATAAACTTATTATTGTTGCCGATATGTACTTTGAAATATGATGATAATAAATGGGGTGGGACATGATCACATACACGTACTGTTTGAAAAGTTAGTTCTGAACTATCAGAATCAATATGGTATGGTACCGGATCGAAATCATCATTTTCTTGAGAAGTTTCCGATGCATGTACTGTGGAGTCATTCTCGTCATCGCTGGTTTCTTGAGAAAAATGATCGAGTATTCCTTGATCTTCAAATAGTGTTCGAGCACGATTATTAAGGTTAATCATACCGTTCAATTGATTTTTTTTTAAGTCGTTCATTATGCCAACTTGTTCAAGATAACTTGCCGCTTTTTCGAATGCGTGAATAACCGTTTGCTCGATTTCCGCTTGTGTAGGCAGTTTTAAAGCAGTGCTCTGCGCAGACGATGGATAAGAATATTTGTTTTTATGATGAACTGGAAACCGCAATACAGGAAACGTTGTTTGTTCATGTTGATGTTTAATCTTTTGTAACAATGATAATTTTTCGATCAGATTCAGAAACTGTGAAGTCGTAAAATTCATACCGGATGAAGAATTGGATGACAACGCTCGAGCAGAGCGAAAGATAGCTTCGCAAGTTTGCGAATGAAAACGATCGATTCCTAATACCTCCTCCGGTAATTTGCCTTCGATTACTAATAATACCAAATAGATCAATGAATGTGCATTCAATTCGATGGAGTATACGGCTTGCGATGTTAGAAAATATTGCTGAACACTTCTTTTTGTAGAAAGATAGTCGTCGTTCGAGTTCTTTGTTAATTCGACAAGTATTTTGTCCAATTTCCTTTTACCCATTGTTTCGATCCATAACAACCATAAACGTGAGAGAAATACGCTTGTCCAAGCGTGAAAAATTCTATCCAATAAGGACGTTGATTTCTCGATATATGCATCAATAATACAACGGAGTAGTTTGACATATATGGCAGTTGCGTTTGAATTGTGAATATGTTCAAATGCTTGAAAAATTTCGTCACGGGTCATTCTGAAACAAGATGCATAATTCTGATGATCTCGCGGATTTAAGTCGGAAGATACTAAGCCGTGAAATAATTTAGAAGATGATGATAGAATCTGTTGTAACACATCAGTAGATACGAGTTGATTTCCCATTAGTAAAGTCGTTGTAGAAGAAAGCATTCTATTGCGGATTTTCGTTGCTAGATGAATGGGATCCTAAAAGTATCAAGGATATGACATCGGTACTTCTTATCATGAAAGAAATCCAAGAAGTTTCAGATTGTTTTGTTCGCAGCTATCGCCAAAACTCGAAAAACACCTGACGTCATTCTGTCTTCTCTATGTCTTGTCGATCTAGAATAAGCTGAATAACTTCAGATATATCTACCGGAATAACCAAAAATAGTTGCGTTGAATCAAGATAAAACCAGTTCCATTCAACAGGTAGATTAACTTTGAAAACATCGGCACGTTCACGAAAATCGAAATATGGAAGCGAAGCGAAAAAATTTGTCATTATACGCATTGTGCGTAAATACCGTGCGTCACAATCTGTAGAAAAACCAATGATTCGAACACCACGTTTGAGAGATTCGTCGAAAATTTTTAGCCACCGATTGATTAGATGATATGAGTCAAATTTGTTGTCTGTTCCATAGGCAGAAAGGAAGAAAGGCGAAGAATCTTGACCGTGGCGAGTAATAGGTTGTATTGCGTGTATATTCAGTAGAGATGATAGTTTTTCATTTCTAAAGGTCGCCTCAAGATCAGAGAACGTCTCAATATGGAATGCTGATGATTGTGGAAAACCACTATGATGAAGTGGAAGAGTAAAGCCAATGAACGAATTGGATTCACGATCATAGGATACCTTTTGTACAACTCCAGTACAATCTTCCGAGGCAAATGCGTACTTGACGTTCATTGATTCCAAATGATTCTTCATTGAGTCGAAGCGAAATTCACCTTCTCTAAGCTGTTCTTTATTTTCATTGAAAAGTTTTGATAGCGTGGACATAGAAGGTAGACTTCCTGGAAGATTGATCCGAACAAATTCATATGCTTGTCGACCACCGAAGACATATAGAACGAATGCAAATTCTTCAATAACTCGCGCGTACCGATTATGATAAGGTGATTTCGTTAGATTATTTGCCATATTTTCGACGAATACTGATAGAAACGTTAAGTCATTCCGATCATTCACGAACATTGAGCTTTGACAAAACGTAATAAGCGATTCTAACCATGGGAAACGCGAGAGGATAGTACTTGATACTAAAATCGAACCATCAGAAGAAGCTTTCCGTTCTTGATGCTCAACGCGACGAAGATTTGACATGAGGCAGTCTACATCATACTGAATGCCGACTTTGACCATCCAGGCTCCGTTGCTGCCACGAAAAGCGGCTAATTGTTTCAGATGATTGAGATTTGGATCGTTAGATTCGATCAGAAGAAAGTCGAGGATATTTCGTTTAGAATAAAGAAGAGAACCAGCAGATGAGAAACCTTGTAAACGAGCAAGTTCTTTTAGTTCAGTGCTAAAAGTAGTCTCAAGAAAATCATGAAAGATCTTTCCTTTGAGCAAGAATATGTCAGACGGAAATACATAGTCATTCGTCGACATAACGGTATGAATTGAGCAGCAGTCACGACGAATAAAACGTAATATCAGTTAAGTAATTTGCAAGACGAATAATAATAGTTACAGCAGATATTGAGCGTCACAGTAGATGTAGTGTTTACGTAAACCTTCAACTAAGATTGCGATCTAGATAAGGAAAAAATGACATTTCTATCAAATACAATCTAATTTCGTATTTAATTTAAAATTCAATCTAAGTTTGAGTTAATCTGTACAGAGCTATAAGGAAAACGTTTGTTACACTGAAGATATAGACAAAACGATTAATGAAATAAAATAACTGCATGATGAACAGACGATAAATAAAATTAATGTATGGTGAATACAGCAAAACCCGTGACAAAAAGAGTTGAATGATACAAAAAAAATCGACGAACATATATTGTTGAAAGACGAAGTGAAATCTAAAAGTGATCGAATTTTAGGTAAATTCTTTTCAGAGTTGTTCTTAATTATGCAACTTACCGATTTGTTTTCATGTTCGACGTCGCTTTTATTTAAAATCCGACTCAGTTGGATTACTATTCAATTCCGTCGACTGTCGACCGTCTTCAGTTGTTGTTTGCGTATCAGATCCACCAGCTGCATCGACAGAGGATGATGGAGAAAACGAAATATCCAGATCAGTATCGTCATCAAGCTCAGTGCTCGCACGTTTCCTTTTGGCAGCGGCACATTGACTACTTTGCGTCAGATGCTTGTAAAAATTGCTTAATTGACAATGTTTTCGTCCCTTTGGTATTGGAATGTTAATTGTTTGATTACAACGACATTTTATAACAGCGGATTTGTTATTGAATACGATCTGATAATCGTCCGGTTCAGTGAGCGCATCGCTTCCAAGATTGAATTGATCACGATGCTTCTCCCACCAACTTTTGATTTTTTCATTGAGAAAATGGCGATGTTCTGGATGGAATAAAGCAGCAGTTGTCGATGAGTTGATTGAAAGAGGCGTAATTGGCATCGGTGTCGAAGGTACTTGGTGGGGATGACTATTGGCATCGGTAGAATTGTTTGACTTGATGCGCTTATTTCTCTGTGCAATAAGAAACGAGTTGAGTAATTGTTGAAGATAATGAAGATATCCTTGTACACCAGCCAGAACAGTTCTTTTTTTATTCAAAGTCTTTATCGAAAGACGATCTTGTAAATCGACAATAAATGGATCATCGCTGTGAATGTCAAAGAAATCCAACGAGTTTGTGTTTAGAAAACAACGAGCATTCGAAATTTTCTGTATCTTGAGTAAATCTTCAACGTCCTTGGATGTTAGTTCTTCTACAAGAGAGTAGAATGCATCTCCTCGCAGACTGAAAGCATTTGTTGGTATCATAGAGAGATCAATGGTGATGGAATATTGTGATTGTTTATTCGAAACGCGAGGCATAAGTTCAGAACGAATTATGTGTTTTCTAGCCAAAGAAAAGATGAAGTTAACGAACAACGTTCATTGCTTTTCTTATATATCGTCTATTTGAACATCTCGGACGATAACAAAAGAACAGAAAAGATCGTGTTTGCACTTGTTGAACCCATATCGGTTTACGTTATGAACGTTAATGAATCATTGTTGGCTTTGTAAACGTTGAAAATTCTCTAATAACTATCAGTTTTAACGAATAAGACTAGCTCTGATTTGCAAGAATCCGTTAAAAATCGAATTATTTATCATTCATAAGTTCTTGTATTCAATGCTTGTTATATAATATTTCAATATTGCTTCGAAAATTCAATCATACATCTTGTACTCCAGCGGTACTCCCGTACTCCGACGGTACTCCCGTACTCCGACAGTACTCCCGTACTCCAGGGATACTCCCGTACTCCGGAGGATACTCCCATACTCCGGAGGATACTCCACTTCGGCCTCCGATAAATTAAATTTTCTCCGAACACATTCGACTGTACTCCATTACTTCAGCAGCCGTATATCTTCAGTTTCAAATCTGGAGTTGGCTGTTTCCCCCTTGTGAATAATACACTTCATCGGACAGGGCTTTTTTCCTAATACGAAAATTTTCGCACACTGATGAGTCAACAAAGACATTCGTTGTAATGACACATCTATTATATGAATATAAGTATCACCAGCTTATCGCTCTATCGACACAATTCGCTTATTTTGGCATCGTTTTCTTTATTACTAATATTTTTAGTATGTTGATTCATGATAGAATACATCGGGATTTCCACATGAACCCAACCACACTGTACAAAAGTTTTCTTAGATTTCCATTAAACTTTTATGGTTGATAGAGCTTTTAATTCTGATCTTTCTGAGAAAAAAATTTTCCGAATTCCTTCCGTTTTTATGGAGAAAAGTTAAAATACTGTAGGTCCAATTTTCGAAATGGCAATTTTTTTAGCCGACTTCCGGATGTTTTTGGCGATTTTCTCTATGCAAACTAGGTCAAATGGTGAATATAATATGATCATTCGATTCCTCTTGGTCCAGCGCATTCATCGATGGTAAATTTTATAGGGGTTTCTTGAAAAAGTCACATTTACCATCACCCACCCACACCCTCATCACAATAGAACTTTTCAAGATGAAGATCTTTCAAAAAGAGACTTTTAATTCTTTTGTTCCGATATAAACCTGTATAACCCATACCACAACCAAATAGATCCTTGGTGCTCAAAATCAATTCATCAACTGTAAGACCTTGTGTTTTGTGAATAGTCATTGCCCGACTCAGTTTTAAAGGCAATTGTTTATTTGAAGAGCTATCTGTTGAACTATTTTCATATTTATCATCGTTCTCATTATTTCGTTCTACACATACAGTATCACGATTATGACAATGCTGACAACTTGTCCTATGCAAAGTACCTGCGCTTGGTGAATCACATTTGATTACAATTCGAACAATTTCTTTATATTTATTCTCGATAAAATCAACAATTCGTCCTGTGACACCATTCGCCAAGCCATCAGCAACACAAATATTATTCGTAATCATAATTCGTGCGTTCTTCGCTAATCGAAGTGGTGCATGTAAAATTTTACTATATCTTCTTTGACATGATTTAACTTGATTTCCTTTTTTATCTATTTCATAAAATACTTTTATATCGTTACATATCCGATCAGGCATTTCATTATTGTGTTCGTCAACATCAACATTTTTCGCGAATAAATGTAATGCTTGTACACTGTATTCTTCATTTATTTAAATAACGTTGATGACATTTTTTAAGAATATTTCGGTCTGGTTTTATCATTTCTTCTTTCTTTTTCAACTTTCGAATACGATTTAACATCTCTGAAAACGACCCACATTCCTTTTGTCTTTCAGTAGTATTCATTTTAGTCATTTCAAAATGATCTGAGTTACAAACAATATTTGCCCATTCATCTTCTTTCGTTTCTGTTGAGAAATCATCAACAATTGTCTTCAATTCATCAGCCATTTCAAAATGAGCTTCATACTTCTTTCGATTGTCACAAACGATATCTTTCACTTTTCGATTACATTTTGCTCGATTATCAAACATTTCTCCTTCTTCATAAAACAATTCGTATGGTTTTTTCAATTCATTGCGATTTCGAATAGGTAAATAGAGAGATAAGAGATTTTCGAAATAGTTTTCAGCATCATTTTCTCGATGAAAATGAGGAAAGCGAATAATAGCTGATTTTCCAACTCGTTTTTTGACAGCAAAGTTAAGAGTTCTCAAATATTTTATTGGTGTTCTTGGATTTTTACTAACTCTTTTTACAGCAAAAAACTCGTAATTCGATGCAAAATCAGCCATACAAATATGGAATTCTTCATCAAATGGACGATCGAAATATTTATCCGCTAGATTACTCATATATATATTTTGATCATTAGGATTTAATTGCTGCAAGGCTTCTCGTGATTTAAGAAATCTACAACTATTCGAATGAGATGGAACAAACACGAATCCTCGACTTGAATAGACTAATGGCATCTTTGCTGCACGATAGATAGCTTCTTGAACACTTATTTGTCGATGATTAAAAAAAGTACCTGTTAATTTTTTCATCTCTTCATGAACTGTTACATTCCCTTCTCGACATTCCTTATGTGTTGCTTCTAAAAGTATGCTCATTTCTCGTTCTGGCTTTGTCGTGTACGACATTAAATATCTCGCACATGCATACGGATCCAAAATAAATTGTATGTTCATATTTGCATTCCAAGCCCTCAAAAGCTCTTCATTGTATTGATTTATCCAACGTGCATTTGGTTCTCTCTTATGAAATATTTTTGGTCGACTATGAACAGTTGAGAGAGACCATTCGTAGTATTCATATGTCCAATTGTATTTATCGAGAATTGTGTCAAAGTCTGTCCAAGTTAAAATCTTGTCTTTTTCAAGGTTATTCAATTCAATATTGATATCTCGTAACGTTTTTTTCACAATCTTTATCAGTTCAACGTCTTCGTCATTTTTAGGCATATATGGAAATGAAATAAAAGTTCGTCGTGATATAGCACGAGGAAATTCGAAACGGCAAATTGTTCCATGACATATTAAACATGATTTCGAATGATTCCGTGAATGACTTTGAAGTTCCTTGACGTAATAGTGCAATTCTCCATCTTCATCAATTGATGGAAACCATGTCGTGGTGTACTTATCACAGAATTCTATAATTTCCAATATAGTTTTTTCATCTGTGTTTTTTCCATTGTATTTCGGTGCATTTTTCACCCAAAGTGGCATATGAGCATGTGGTGAACCTCTCATCTGCATTTCAATACGAGCAAACCAATCAATAACTTCTCCTAAACAATATGCACCACCTTTCACAAATTTTTTCATAAATACTTGAAATCGTCGTTCAAACATGTGTGCAGCAATAACTGGATTTTTACGAATAAGATTTACTTTTTCTAGAAAACTGTAAACTTCTTTTACTTCTTCTCCACTATTTCGAGCAATGACATCAAGAAATTCTTTCCAGCGCATATCTGCACAAGACAATGTTAAGAAGAATGTCGGAATTCCTAACTGACGATTCATACCGAATAGATCTTTTAAACGTTGATTCCAATATTGTGGACTACCAGGTACTGTTTCAAAATGTCGATAAATCATATCGTTTTTAAGAAGTAGTTTCAATTGATTTTCATCTTTACCTTGACTAGCTGTCATAGGAATCATTTTTCGAAATGCAATATTACTTGATGAATAGGCTTGTTTCAAATCGCTGACATATTGCAAATAAAAAATGTAGCTAGGATCATTTGCAAACCGTAGATCAGACGAGAGAAGTCGTACTTTACAATATTCTTTCCAATAGAGTTTACTCATTTGATTTTCATCAAAAGAACCTTTACCATCTGGAAACAGATGAGGAAAAGCAAGTTTTTCAACACCCTTTTCTGTTAATAAAGAGTTAAGTTTATTTTTCTCTCCAGGCGCCACGGCTAGTATCACTTTATTATTATCTATAACGATTGTATCATTGAAATTTGCTGGTTGAATACATGACGCTGTCTCTATATTATACTTCGTTCTAATATCTCCACTATCTTCATATACTGTATCTCATCATCATCGTTCGCACTATCACCTTACGACCTAAAGCTAAATGATCTTTTAAGTTTTCTCCTTTCACTCACTATTGACTTTTCAATACTTTCATCAACAATATCACGATCAAATCGTTCTTTATCAGAGATTAAATAATTTTCAATAATATCAACTACATTAATGTTGGCATATGCTGGGTTAATTTCTTTTAAAATAAACAAAGCCGTACGAATATCATTGGGATTAATCCATTGTTCTTCCCATACTGCTTTATACTTTATTTGACGTTTCAATTGTAATCGAATAACCATTGATCGATCTACCGGTCGTGGCAAAGTAGATACAGTTTCTTCAACATCGACTGGAACACAATGCAATGGTCCTTTTACACCTTTTTGTCCGAATCTATTTGAGATTTTTCCACCTCCTAAATGCACTATCTTCATAAATACTATTCGAAGTGCAATGAGATGTCGTTCTAAATCATTTAGTTTTCCTAACTCTACAGGTATTTCACTAACTTCAAGTTTATTAATAATTGCTCGACTAGGCATCTCTCCGCGTTTTATTTTCTCGGAACAGAATTTACAAATACAACCAGTATTTTGTCGACCATTAGCATTCAAATATGATTTAATACGTTCCATTGTTTCCTCGCTTTTACACATTTTCAAATATTTACCTTCGATACACGACAACACTTGATCACGAAAGAATTTTAATCGACAATCAGTACAGCTGTAATCTGGTCCATCTTTAGCAACTTTACGAAATGATTCCAATGAACAATTATATTCAATTCTACTTGTACTATGAACATTTAAATCCATCAACATACATTTCTTTAAAATTTGGCGATAATGTTGATCCTGTTTCTGTTTTTCACGTCGCAGCTTTACATTATTGTTATAGTTAGCGATACTTTTACAAATTATTCGACTACGAAATAAACCATCTCAGTGATATCGAGACATAAAGCAAGCATGCGAATGCTCTTTATGCTTTATTCGAAAATCTTCATCATTTAGATATTTTTCTGAAAACAAACACTTTGCTTTCTCTTTGTGTTGTTTTCCAAAATTTTTCTCGTTATTATATTCATATCTAAACCATTTATTCTGCTCTTGGCCTCTTTTATGAAGAATATTTTTCAAACAATTATTGCACTTGGCTTTTTCTTTTATCAACGATATGTTTTTTCTTTGAGCAACACATCGTGAAACTAAGCTTACTAACTGCCGCACAGTTTCCCCAACTATTATCACATTTTCAGATTCTCCTTCTCGTTGTTGTTCTTGCTTTTCAGACGCGGCACTTCCTGACGACATACACTTTTCATGAACCGTGCACATAGTTCGTCTATCCTGAAGAGTATTCGAAGACGAATAATGATTGTCAATGACACAGTTCTGTTTAAATTTTGAAAATCTCTGAACCACTTCAATAATACATAAAGTCACATGCCAACAAAAACTAAGACCTTGAACACCTGTACGACAACGATAAGCGTTTCGCCACGTTTTCACTTTAGCAGCAACCGATTTTCTTCGTGCCATCGATGGAATCAGCACAATAATTAGTTACACCAACCTCTTTCAATCTCCCGATAACAACTATTTCAAAAGAAAATTTATTTTCAACGAACAAATCGTATTATGCCCAACTTCTATACGTAACAATAGACAAAGAAATAATTTCTAATAATTTAAAATCAATACGTTACTAAAATTCTATTCAATAATGGCCACTCTCAATTGACAAAAACCATAAACAAACTTATGACATCAAAGCCTCTATGAACTAAAATCTAGCGAGACATGAGGTCGCCGCATTCATTAATTATCTTTTCAATTAATCATAACAGACTTCTAACGAATCTTTTCGCGCCTACTCTTCTTTTAATTATCTTCACCCTAGCAAATATCATCACCACATTTTACCACTAAATTCGTGTTTTATTTTGGGCAAACGACAACAGTTAATGAAATTCTGAGAAGAAATATCTCATCTTCACCTAGCTAACTGGCCGACGACGCTCCGATCCCTTGATCACCGCGTCACTAAAAATGGACTTTGGATGGTTGTCTAGAAAGAAAGATAATAATAATAATAAAAAGATGCGATTGAATTCAAGAATACGATGCTAGCGCACCGTATTAATTATGGAAAGTAAGACAAAGAAATATTCAAATGAATCATATTGAACAATCTTTTAATGAAATAATTATCACTCGATTATAAAGTTTTATTAAATGAATATTAATTAAGTTTCATTTTTTCGATTTCTATTTTGATCTTGTAAGAGAAACAAATTCTTCTCGCGTTTTGACATCTTCTTGAAAACTACCAATCATTGCAGAAGTTATTGTTCGTGAATTAACTTTCTGTGCGCCTCGCATCACCATACACATATGACTTAAAAGAAAGAAATACATCAATCAAATGATTATCTTCTTAAAAATTCAAAACATTACACGCATTCAACAATAACACCAACACCACGAGGATCGACTGCTTCTTTTACTGCTTCAGCAATTTCTCGAGTTAATCGTTCTTGAACTAAAATTTGATGGATATGAAACATTCTTCGATTTTAAATTAGAATTTTACCTTGAAGACGACGACTGAATACTTCAACAATTCTATTTCAAAAAAAATTAATTAGAAAAAAATATAAAATTTTTGATTATTTGAAATTTACCTTGCTACTTTACTTAAACCAATAACTTTTTTATTTGGTAAATATCCAACTGAAACTTTACCAAAAAAAGGAACTCTTTTGAGAAAAAATTCAAAGAAATTTCTCATAGAATTCTTCAAAACTTACAAATGATGTTCACATAATGAGAATATATCAATATCTTTAATAACAACCATATTATCGCATTCTTCATCAAAAACAGCATCACTGACAACATCCGAAACCGCTTGTTCATATCCTTTTGTAAAGAATAAAATTGCTTCTGCTGCTCGTTTTGGTGTTTTTAATAAACCTATTTGAAGAAAATCGTTGTCTACTATCAAAATGATTACAGTTCTTTACCTTGTCGATGAATATCTTCTCCAAGACTATTTAAAATTTCTGCATAACAATTAGAAATAGTTTCAACACGTTCAGCACAGATTTGTTTATTATCATGGTCACGTAAAACTTTGTCTGTTTGAAGAATACTCACTTGACGAACTAAATAAAAAAAAGATCTTTATTTCCCTGAAAAAGAAAACGAGAAAGTCTTCCGTTTTAGTTACCTAAATTCGGTAAATCGTTTTCTTCTTCTTCCCTTGCGTCCGGTACTGTTGCTGGTAATGAATAATTTCCACTAGTCGAAGGATTTACTAAATTATTATTGTTTGATAAAGCCATTTTATTCGCTATATTGAAGAACTAGAAACAAATAAAACTATAAACATGAAGGGTGAAGGTGGAAATCTGGGTGAATGTGTTTCTGTTCAATGAAGGCTGAGTTTGACAGCCGGTGATAGTTCATGTAATTCGGGATATCTTTGGAACTCAGGCTCTTAGGTTGTTGTGAGGAGTAGTATCATGATATCTTTAAAAGTTGGGTGGCTGTGCTGGTACCATAAATTACAGGTAGCCTCTGATCATTATTCTGCTGAATAATAGTCTCTAGTAGTATAAACCACTGTGAAATGCCTGTGTGTGTTTATATACGAATGACAGGTATAAATGAGAGCTTCTCTGGTGAAAGAAGAATGAATTTACTCACTGCGCGATCGAATATGAAGGTAATGTGCAACTGAGCACCTCCTTATATATGGTGGCATACCGGTAAGCAGAACGACGCACTGTGTACGTTGAGTCATACCTGACAGACAATAAAATAACTATTTTTCACCGGGAGTGCTAGGCAAGAACAAACATAGAATGGTGCGATTTTCACATCGAAATATACGTTTTTTTCTGTTCATTCGTAGTGAGTGTAAACAAATAGATTTTTGGATCTCCACGAGAACTCTGTAAGACTTTAATTGTATCCTTTTTTCAGCTATGGTGTGAATCTGTCGCAATGGTAAAAATTAATAGTGCAAGTGAACAAATGACAAAGACATATATCGATGCTATAGAGAAACGACAGAGAATAAATATTCTTTCTCTATTGATCTTTTAAAACAGTGATGATTCACCATATACAGCTAGGGATATTTGTATTGTACGTGCACAAATTGACTTTAGTGAAGTTGTGAAATGAAATATAAAAAACAAAGCCAAATTGAGACAAAATGTAAGAAGGCAAAATGTAAAGGACAAATTGTCATCTGCCAAAGTTAGCAGTCACCATCTTTTCCTACGGCTTCATCCATCGGTATTTTTTCGAAGAAATGTAAACTAGTTTTTCGGCGATTGCTTCGAATTATAGACGAAGCACAAAAACAAACACTACGAAGAAAAATCCAGTACTGTGAAGAAAGCAAAAGACTCAGGTACCTCTGACGACCGCACATTGACGACAACCATTGTTAGCTGAAACTATAGGAACATCAGCGAAAGAGAGAACAATCGAACCCACGCCTTCTGATATTCGGGCAGGTGTCCTAATCCAGTTTTACTAGAAGGGCCATCTTAATGTCTAGTCTAGCGTTGTGTGATTCATCACAAACGCTAACAACCATAATCGTGAATAAGTGCAATCCACTTTTTTACTAGTGTTTGTTTTTGTGCTTTGTCTGTAATTCGAAGCAATCGCCGAAAAATTAGTTTACATTTCTTCGAAAAAATACCTCATTCGAAACCATTCTATGTTTATTCTTGCCTACCACTCCCGGTGAAAAGTAATTATTTTACTGTCTGTCAGGTATGACTCTACGTACACAATGCGTCGTTCTGCTTACCGGTATGCCACCATATATAAAGGAGTGCTCAGTTGCACATTACTTTCATATTCGATCGCGCAGTGAGTAAATTCATTCTTCTTTCACCAGAGAAACTCTAATTTATACCTGTCATTCGTATATAAACACACACAGGCATTTCCCAGTGGTTTATACTACTAGAGACTATTATTCAGCAGAATAATGATCAGAGGGTACCTGTAATTTATGGTACCAGCACAGCCACCCAACTTTTTAAGATATCATGATACTACTCCTCACAACCACCTAAGAGCCTGAGTTCCAAAGATATCCCGAATTACATTAACTATCACCGGCTGTCAAACTCAGCCTTCATTTAACAGAAACACGTTCACCCAGATTTCCACCCTCGCCCTCATAAAAATAAATTATTCTAATTTCTTCTGTAGAGTCTTCGTGAAACGTTTCTTTTAAACAATGTCGAAATTTCGAAATGCTGAAACCCACTTCAGAGTTGATTCCAATGGTGCTGGAAAGGCATATACACATGAAACAAATGATGGTCCTTATCAAATCTGAGACATAATAGATCACGGCGGCAATACTTTTTCTTTAAAGAGTAGGGCGACTGGTAAATTTTTAGATAGTAATTTCCAAGGTCATGTTTATGCATTACCTGAAAATGGAAGTGCACATCAAAGATGGTGATTTGAGGGTCAACGTATTATAAATCTTGCAACTGGTATGGCATTAGATTCAAATTGGGATAAGCATATTTATACAATGGCCCCAAATGGAGGCAATTTTCAAAATTGGATCCGGGAATAGACAAAATCACGATTTGCCTAATTAAAATCAAACCTTGTATTCGATCACAAAGAAAATTTTAAACATTTCTCAGTTTAATTTGTAATTAGGCCACTTTTTCAAAATTTTCGAATAAATAATTGGATAATAATGATAACTTGAGAGAATGTGCGTCTAGCAATACCAAGACTAGTTTCAGTGCTGCTACGGGTCTCCTCAGTTGGCTTTGACTTATGCTCGCGTTCGTCATCTGATGTTCAAATGAAAATCAGCAGTCAAATGGAAGGTGTGAGTAATCAAAGGAAAATATGTCACGACGCGTTTCGATGTTCCTCAAGGGTCTCATCAGATGGTTTAAGTCGTAACGGATTCGAAAATAGGAAACAGACGGTAATTTTTGGTGTACACTGATGGTATGTGGAATGACGGCGTTTTGGCGATGGCGACTACTAGAGCACTCGGATGTTGGTCATTCAATTCCACTTCTACCAATTCTAGAATTGAAACCGAACCGAATTAGAACTGTTGCATGCCTACATGAAACTGTTTAAATACTAGGAAACCACAAGGGAAAAAAGAAAACGGAATATTAGCACATTATAGTTGCTAGCTGAAAGCGATTAAAAAAAAGTTTGTACATGTGGCACACGAGCATTGATGTTTTTGTGATGGAAGATAGTCGTATTCAGGCAATCAAGCGAACTGCAGTTGAAAGAGGCAAATAGGGGCGCACCACATCCAGTTTCAATCCCCATGCTCACATACATGCATTGTCTTCATCATCATCATATCCCATAGGCTTGGCGCCCGTTGGGTCCAACCATTTACGGAATCAGATTTTTCCATGCCCGTCTATCTTGCGCAAGGTGGAACAAGTCATGTCCACTACGTTGACACCATTCCGTTCTGTCATCGAGCCACTCTCTGCACGGCCGTCCTCTTCGAGATTTTCCGTCTATTTGTGAAAATANATATATTTATAAATCAAACAGATTTATAAACTACAAAGAGATTTATAAATCCTGAAGAATTTATAAACCAATGAGAATTTATAAATCACCAGTGAATTTATAAATACACAAAATGTTTATAACTGCTTTAAATTTCGGACGAAAAAATTTATGATTTATAAATCGATTTATTTATATTGATTTATAAATGAGCATATTTCGGACTCTTCAGTGCTCTCAGTTTGTTGTCAAGACTCAGCTTCTTGCTGCCCCAAACGTGCTTCAGCGTTCCTATTCTCCTTTTAATCTCTTCCGAGCACTTGTTGTCCCACGTCAGTAGGCTACCGAGATATTCGAATTTTTCAACGTTTTCGATTGTTTCACCTGCCAGCTGGATGCTATTATCCGGTTTCCTATCACCGAACACCATGATTTTAGTTTTGTTCGTATTTAGCAACAGTCCTGCCTATTCAGCACTTTCCTTTGTCAGCTCGATTTGCCTTTTGAGTAAGCCGAGGTCCTCCTCCATGAGATCAATATCGTCATTCCACCGATTCGGACTCCGCAGGTGTTCTGTCTCACCTGATCCATGACTCGATCGAGGTATGCGATGAAGAGGAGTGGTGACAGCGGGTCGCCTTATCTCGTTCCCACATTCGTATGGAACTAATCACCGTATTCTTTACCAATGCGAACAGCTGACTGTGCCTTCTCATAGATCTAGCTTAGCAGGGTGACCATTCTCGGTTCCAACCCGTAGGACTTCAACGTAGCCCAGATGATGTTATGCTTGATCGTATCGAATGCTTTTTGAAAGTCAATGAAACAGTTGTATACTTTTTCCCCTGTCGTTTAGCCTTTTCGGCTATGAGCCGCAGTGTCAAGATCTGATGTACAATACTTCTGTCCTTTCGGAAGCCAGCTTGTTCTTCCGATAGGTACGGATCGAGGTTACCTTTTAGTCTGTTTAGTAGCACTGTCAAATGTACCTTTCCCGTATGATTGATAAGAGAGATCGTTTGGTAGTTCGAGCAGTTACTTAGATCTCCTTTCTTTGGTGTCGGTACTAGAAGAGACTTGCCCCACTCTTCTGGGATGGTGCCTTCTCGCCATGCTTTGTTACAGAGTTTACGTATCTGTCGCGCCAGCTGATCCCCTCCAGCTTGTAGCACCTCTGCAGTGACTCCGTCCAACCCTGGACTTTTATTCTTTTTCAGCGAGCTTGTTCGCATTGTTCGTGGATCCAATGCTCTTTATCCTGTCTTGCCACTTTCTTGACTCTCGTACAAGAGTCTCTGTACGCTTGTGCGTATCTGTCTGAAACGTTTTTCCGGAGATCCAGGGTTTCTTCGTAGCCCGCTTGACTGGTACGGTCGACTCGACTGCGCTTCTGATCGCTTCTGAGATCCTCGCGAAATGCTCTTCCAGATCGTCTGTGGGACCTATGCTTTCCATGTGTTTGGCTAGTGTAGCATTGCAGGATTGCCTCGTTTTCTCGTCCGTCAATCGGCTTACATCAACTCCGCGGCACTGTTGTGCTTCGCTTTTCAATTTCTTGAATCGCAGTCTGACGTTGCACACCACCTGGGGAAGCCCAGGTCCACTTCCGATCCGATTTATTTTGGAATCTCGAGTTGCATACGTAGAGATTATGCGCTGTAGCGAATTCTAGAAGGCGTTCTCCGCGTTCGTTTCTGTCGCTGTATCCGTATCGCCCCATTACAGGTTTCCAATCGCTGTTATCGCTACCAATTTTTGCATTCCAATCGCCTGTCAGAATGATGACGTCCCTTTTATCTGTCTTCGAGAGCACCTCATCGATGTCGTTGTAGAATGCCTCGATGTCTTCCTCGGAAAATGTGGAAGTAGGTGCGTACACGTGCATCACTGTCATCTTAAACGGAGATGCATTGAATCTCGCCGTTATTATCCAGGAGTTGATTGGGTTGTATCCTATCAATGCCTTTTTTGCTTGTTTACTGAGGAGGAAGCCCACACCCCTCGTATGTGTTCTTTCCTCTCCCGACCAAATGAGGTCACCGCTTGGCGTTTCGCCTTTTCCTGTCCAGCGGACTTCGGATATACCAATGATCTCGTATCTGAAACGTTTCATTTCGTTTCGAAGCAGTTCTAGATTGCCCGCAGCCCACAGAGTCTGCACATTCCATGTTCCCACTGTCAGGAGTTTCTTTACTAGCCTTAGCCTATGCGTGTTTTCCGTCGTAGAAGGCGTGTTAGCGTCGTCAGTTTTTCCAGTAGCCAACTTTTCGACTCTGTCCTAGTCACTCGCAGAGGAAGCGGACCTTGTTTTCCCGGGAGACGTCCGAGCCGGTATGGATTCCTATGATCGTCGTTCATGGTTGGTTTGTTTCGTCTTTTTGTTTTTACTGACGGCGGTATCTGCATCCATTCCGTCAAACGCTCCTCCTTTGTCCAGACTTGCGACCGGCACGCAGACCGGTGGATTCCGATCTCCGTGGTGGAGTTTGGGCATAGTACTATTTACCTGATATCTTAGTCTAAAAGGGCCATAATTTAACATAAATATGTCAGTTTAGTTAAGTGTAGATCGTTTTGTGTTATCTTGTAGCGGTCATCTTAGGACTTATAAGTCGCTTCAATGCTCTACCCACAAATTTGTTCCATATAAATTAGAAGATGATCTCTGCAATATGATGGCTCGATACATTACAGTGTATTTCTTCCCTATATTACTCTCTATGTCGCTCTTGTAATCCTTTTTTCTCGCTTCAGTTATCCTTGTCTGATGTATACATATAATTATCCACACTGTATGGAACCGATGCGATTTTCGAAAGGAAGAAATCAACGAAGGGATGCTCCATTAGAAAGCGTGACATACAGGAAAACACAAAACGATCTGCGCTTAACTAAATCGACATAATTTTGCTAAACTATAGCCTATTTAGGTTTAGGTACCAAGTAAAAAGTACTCTGCGTGAAGTACAAATACAAAAACTTGCGTCCTAGCTCTACTGCCTGACTAAAAATGCTTAGCCCTATTAAACAATTTTCGATTCAACTATACGTTAATCACAATTTTCAGTCTTAACTCAATGAATTGAGTGTACCAACTAGTCTGAAAATTAGTCAGAGGAGATCTTATTCAACGCGGAATAATCAATTCTTGATTCGAACAGAAGAATAATACATAGTGCATTCAAATATTCTATGTTGTTGAACACAGTCTGGAAGAAGGTGTAAAGGGTGTAGCGATAATAGATTATATTCATCAGTCCTAATTCACCCCAAAACTACTACGTATATGAGTCAAAACTCATAGAGTACAGATCATTATAAATTTCCAGAGCCCACAGGAAGTAATTTAATATGCCCTGCTAATTCGTCATAGAGTATTATTGACATAAGATCGAACGCTATCATAGACAAGCGGTTGAGAAAGTAAAAGCACTTAATTTATAGTCTTGAAATTATTATCATACTTCTGCAGTTCTAATCGAAAATATGTGTTATGTCTAAGAGAGAACAGAATATGATAAGACGCAAGTTGAAATATAAATTCGCAAAATGATTTTTATCTGTAAAAAATAGTCTACTTTAGATTTCATTACAAATGAATCTTCATCGTCATAATAACGATAATGGCTTCCCAACAAGAGAACTTCGGTATATAAGTACAATCGTTTCTGCTCATGTTCACATTCTCTCACTTCTCTATCCAATTAGATTATCTTCTCCATGGGCAACCATTTTGGCTATATTTTTTATTGGCAAGATTTTGTTGGTTATTGCTGGAGTTATTGTTATTTCGTTGATACCTCTGTATCTAAGTCGCAAAAGCGAAGACATATCGGTGAACAATCCTAATGATAGTATGAACACTATCATCATTACTATTTGTATTCTTCTTTAATTTTTTTCTAGGGATAAGATCAATCAACATGGCCTTTGCTGTCACGTCTGCCATTTCAACATCGCAGGCAGTAACTAACTACGATTCAGTTGCCAAGCAAGTCAGTTTATATTACTTTTTTCTCTAACATACAAAAAATACAGAAGAAACATGCTAATTTATAGGTCAATCAACATCTCAAGTATCCAGCGAACATATTTAATGCTCAATCAGCACAATACTATGCTGTGGCAGCCACAGGTGTTACTACGAAAAGGAAGAAACGCCAAGCAACGTAAGTTATTTTACCCAAAATTTCATCTATACAGTGTTTGGAAGTTCATTGACCAAGACGAGAATTTGAATATGTCTATTACGGTTGAGCAAACGAGCTGCGGTTTTATGGCAGTGGTAGAAGAATGTTCAAAGTTTACACGCCTAAAGACACGCTAAGAGAAACTCTTATCAAGTACAAGTAATGGCCTCAAAGGAAAAGGTTTACTTTTTCACAAATAGTCCCTCAGACCATGCCTTAACGAATATACAGCTTAACTATGTCACTAGTATTGATAAAAGAATTAGTTCATTTACTTGAGGTGTAGTGTGGACATTTATTTCTTTTTGACAACAGAGTAACCGTTACACCACTTTGCGTACCACTTTTTCTCACCTATGGAAAAGTAGACCTTTTTCCTTTGAAGCCATTGCTGTTCTATAATAAAGAGCTTCTCTTCAAATGCCTTTATAGATATAAACTTTGAACATTCCTCTATCATTGGTATAGAGAGCTAGCCCGTCTGCACGAGCTGTAGCAGAGACGTTCAAAACATTGTTTTTCGATCAATGAATCTCCCAGAACACTATAAAGCATTTCGCTATTTCTAAATTATGCTTAGGGACAAATTATCATGCGAAACAGGCGCGAAATTGAACCTAGTATTATACGTGAATGTATGTCCAAGTACTGGTTGTCATACATCTTATTGCTTCGAAAAGTGTATTCCCACAATGAAGTCCCAAATTCGATCAGAACTAGGCTCGGAACCATTATTACTCAACATTAAAACAGCTGATGGATCTACTTCCACTGTTTTGGCACAATTTTGCTCGTTTGATAACATTGTTCCAAGTAAGAAGTCAATCAAAATGAATATGCTTGTACAAAGTATTAGAGATGAAATCAAACAAAATGACGAGAGAATTTGTTTCGTTTATTCTTCTTTGTAATTACTTGTCCTATTCTTGGTATTTCAATTGCATGTTTTTCTCAAATTCTATCCCTTAAGACTGACACATCATTACTTATGTATTTGGTAGCGGAAGAAATAATTAGCGATATATCGCAAGAATATTCAGGTTTTCGTGCGAAATCCTTCTCTATAATGAGGCGTCTTGAATTTTGTGCTTGTGGTCACCAAACTGAAATGTAAAGTAACTGATTGTTATTTAATGAGCTTTGTTTCCTATTGCAGCTACACTTACAACGAATGGAGTGACAACAGCATCGACAACATCAACAACATCAGCAACAACATCAACGGGATCGACAACATCTGCAACAGAAGCAGAACCTGAAACAACAACAGAAGCAGAACCTGAAACAACAGCAGAAGATTCTGCACCACGATAAACACAAGAACCTAAAAACTCGTTCGAAAATAATCGACGTGGGACTATCATGAATTCTAATAAAGTTTTAGATAGGCGACATTGGGGTGAAATGACTACATCTATCATTCTTCTACTAATTCATTTTTTGTTAATAAAACGCTCATTCATACACTCTTGAAAAGTCAAAGATGCACATCATACTCAACCTTTTCTGACACTAAAGGATAATTTTGCAAAAGTCGTAAATATATGATTTAATAGCACATCATGTTTGTGCGAATTCCAGGGCATTATAAAAATAAATTGACAATAATGAACGTTCATTGATAACGAGGTTTTTTACGAAGGCAGGATTTTTAATACTAAGATAAACGATAGTGTTTCGAGTTCTTGATCACTATGGACCTATCATTTAACAATATAAATCATTCACTTTCAGAGAACTTAACATTCTCTACTATTTCTTACTTAATGTGTTATTTTGGAATCCTGTGCTCTACTTGATCCCAGTATCTCAGAACAATTTCAACTGATCATCTTAAAACACACTGATTTTTTGGTAAATAAGCTTTAATTCTTTTTTCTGATCTGAAATAGTAAGACTGCTAAGGAAATGATGAGTATACTCACTTTGTAGAGTGACGATTCGAAAATTGTGCATTCGATAAATCTATAATGGTTTGTCCAATCTAGCTGACTTTTTCATTGTAGATGCAGAACTTTTCGTTCTGTAAGTAGTACACATTTCACCTCTTAATACTGTACTGTTGAAGAGATATTCACAATATACTGAAATATGTCGAGTCATCTTTTTCCTGTAAGTATTTATCGTTTAATCGACTTGAATATTGTCTAATCAGATGCAATTCTACTTAGAATATAACTGCCCCTAATATAGACTGTTCGCCAACATTTATTATCATGAAAATGCTAACAAAATGGTTCACGGTTTTCAATGGGATGAGTTATTTTTATTGTTTAAATGAGCAGAAATGTGACTACATTGCGCACATTTTCCTTAATGTTCAATAAAATATCGAGAAAATTTTGTCACATAACCCATGCATGCAGCGTAATAAATGCGTCACTTAGAACCTGTTTAGGTGCATTTTCATTTTGTCAGATGATTCGTAATAAAAAGTGGCAATTTACTCGCATATTATTTCAAGTATTATATCTTGATGAAAGTTTACATAAAACTTTTGACACTTCTGTCACAGGCATGTGTGCAACATACTTTCACATCATTCTTCTACATTCTTGGTTGCACTGTTTTGGGATAGACAGATTGAGTTTCGTCTCTCGAACGAAGACAACGCTATTAATTTCCTTTACGGATTACTCTTTAATTGGGTTCTCTATCCGAGCAAATTTTCATATTTGAAATCAAGCCTTTCTTTTCTTTTTTAAAGAGCTTGAACTCTTTTACAGAATTTGTCTAAGGTTAGTGTATACAAAACTTTACACTTTGGTTGAAACTTATTACCAACTCGAATCCTTTTGCAATGTTCAATAGATAACAGAAACCAAAACAGAGTAGAGTACTCGACCTTGAGAAATTTCATTGAATCACCAGTGCTGGATGAAGTGAAACGAATAGCACATAAGAACTTTTGTTCCACTAAAACGTTCGTCGAGTCCAGTTGAATCCTTTTTTAAAATCTCATTTTGATCTCTGGTTGATATATACCACGTCATAGACTAAAATCTTAATGAAATGACAATAGCTCTAGGAGGAAAATTCATTCACTGAGCTTATCGTTTTGAGATGTTTCCTACTTCGCTGGGATATATCTTCTGCACTAACTGCGATCTCAAAAGTAATTTCACAGTTGGATAAGTTCCTTCATTATAGAGATAAACAAAAATACTGCAGAGATCAAATCTGTCCTACAACAAATCTGCAATATCTGGTTCGATGTAGTTGTATTTCATTAGAAGCATATGGCTTCTTTTTCTCTATCAAATAACAAATACAGAGAGAAAGAGAGAGAGATACTTAAAGCTTTCATAAAGTATCAAGATATTACCTGATGAACTTTTCATATGCTCTCAGCAAATTTTGTACTTTTAGCATTCATTAGAAGATATATCATTATCATTATTACATTATGTTTTNATGATATGTGGGTGTCAGCTGAATGAATGACTCATATAAAGAAGAAATCTGAGAACATGGACATTCGACAACACTATCACTATATTTCATAATCAGTTTCCGATATGTTTCTAAAGAAGGATTCTTCACTTCCACCTGGACTTGTTCGACATGTAATCCGTTGTAAACCAGTAGAATTGACATTGACAAGCACAGCACAACAATATATATACGCGAAGACCATCGTTCAATTTTAATGCTTGTTTCGTCGATTGAGTTCTTTTTAAAAACATTTAGTTCAACAAACAACCGTTTGAGGCGTCTAAAGCATCCAACACTGTCAACTTGCTCACCTTGCATTTGAAGTTTTTCCAAATGATTTGCCGAACAGAAACAGTTTTTCTCTATTTCACTTAGCAGCTGGCAAATATGTGCTACTTATCTCTTTATTTTATTGAAAGATAACAGCTGAACAGCGAAACACTCTTGACGTAGAGAGAAAGCTGTTTCTAGGTCTGATTTTAGTTGATGAACAGAAAGGCGATTATGAGTTACACACAATTTTTCGACTATAAAGTGAGATCTATGTAGGTTTGTAGTTAAGCACTTTCTCTATCCAAGAGTATATACGGGTATTGTTAGGTCGTGCCGTTAGGTGAAAGATGTTTATTTAAAAAATATCTATATCTATATGCAATAACATACACACACACATACACTAAAAAATAGGTAGTTTCGTCAAACTCTAAGGTTTTGACAATCATTTCCAACACCCCAAGATGGTTTCGTAACCACTCCGATGGGTTTTCACCTGATCTACGAAACCATTGGTAGTTTTGCAGTAACTGCTGATTGTTGTCCAGACTTTTTGAAGTTGAAGTGCAGTTGATAGGCGAATATTCCTAAATTTGTTCATTTTCAGAGAATTCCGTAGGTTTATCCTGTGGTCTCACTTATAACTACGCTAAGTATAGCTGGTGTGTGTGAGGGTGTAGCGTATGGTAGTATATACGGCTATACTAAATATCAGAAGCTTAAATTTCTTTTTCGAAGCACGACGGTTAGTGGTCAGTTTTAGCGTAGAGTTTTGAAAAATATATTCTTCGTCAACAGCATAAAGAAATTTGTCAGTGATTACCGATACCACTATTACGGATGAGAACAACGGAAGAATTGCTGAAGAATAGTGTAATCTATACTTGCAAACAACAAACTAAAACTAACGAATCGAACTACGAGAAAATCAGTAAAATGCCATCAAATTGTGAAGTTCACTTGCTAAGTTGAGAAAACATTTAGTCTAATACGAACAATGAAACAATCGTAATATCTAGCTGTGAACAGAATTTAACTCTACACCCACCCTCAAGATGGAAGTGTACATGTTCTTACAGTTCTACGTAAGGCAACCAAGATTGTACAAGTTGTTTCTGCACTACGTAATCTGAACTTAAATAAACATCCTATTCTTGATCTTTCATGTCGTTTCACTATTCTAGCATTTGTATGATCTACATTAATTATTACGATACGATGTACGCTTGATAGGGTGATTCTAGTACTATATATAGCATTATATATGAGGTGGAGTTGGTAGAAAAATCATATTTTTCTGATGAATATCGGGACATTAGTACGGTTGATCACTCCTCGATATTAAGAGATTGAATTTATTTTAATTGATCACCTATTTTCTTAGTGTACAACATGGTTTAAGCATTGTTTTTCAATGAATCTGTCCGAAAATAATTCGATTGATCTCTCATCTAGATGTGTATTCGAAAAAAAACCGAAAGAACCCTATCTGTCCGGTATCTTCACAAACAACAGCTGAAAATGAAGATGTTTTCGAATCAAATCCATCGATAGTAACTCATCAGTAACTGTCTTTCGTGACGATTCTTCTCGTTTATTTGAATTAAAAAGAGCAAAAACAACAAGAGGAAGAAAATCTCTGATCATCAAAATATCTAGGGTG